CCATTTCCAAGAGATCACCTGTGCAGCTTCCCTCCCCTTCTAGCAGAGGAGGGGTGTCCTGACCTGAGGATTACAGTTGGGTGGGGGAATATGCTGAAAGCCATTTCTCTGATGTAGGCATGTCAACGCATCACCTGTGAGTCTATAGGTCCTAACTCTCCTTGCATGTCCCCCTGTTCCTGTAAGAAAGCATTTTTCAGCCTCCCTTTTCCATGGCCATGGGAATTCAAGCTAAGTTGCCTTCTTCCTCAGCTTCTCAGAGAGGCACAGAAGGATCCTGTCCTCCCAGTTCTCCAGATCCACCTACCTAAACATTTTGTCACCCTCTGTGTGCCAGGCAGTGTGTGGGAGCCTCCAGTGGCTGGCACTGCATCCTCTGCAGGAGGGCAGGAAGATAAGTCACATCTACTCATAATGTCTGTTGCCCAGAGATCTCAATGTGTCTGTAGATTGTCCGCTCTGGAGGATCTCCCACAGCGAGCAAGACACAGCTCTCGAAGCAGTGTTTGTGGCTAGTGTTGCTGGCTGTTAGAGAGTTCACTGAGCACCTTTCCTAGGCTGACTTGCTCCTGCTTTATGCTGCTGAGGGGTTGTTTATGTATGATGCTTTGTGGGTGGGATGTGGTTTTGTTACTGCTCCATTGTTGTACTCTGTTTAGGCACTCTGCCCATTTATGATTAATGATGTTTTGAGCTGAGGCTCTAAGGTGCTTTCAGGCATACTCCAGGTATAAGAAGTAAAAGAGGCGTTGTTATCATCAAGGTACTTCAACGTAATATCAAATGTAATCAGAAGTGAATTAATTAAAGCAGTGTGTACATAAGAGTCCTTTTATGGTAGATGTTCAAGCAACTCATATGGCGTAATTTAGAGCTCAATTTTTTAGACTTTTGTAACCCTCTCCTCTCCATGAGAAGGTGGTAACTTGGCAGTAGACGCCAGGACTGCTGTCAGAGGGCAAACTTCTCCTGCAAAGGCCTCTTAGTGAAACATGACTCTTGAAACAGGTTAGGAAATTGCGTGCATTTGTTGATCCTGGCCCCAGCATGTTTTAGGGTTAATTCTTTTGGGTTACACAACAAGTGTAGGCTGGGATCTAATGGTTGCTTGGGTTTCATCTGACCTTGGAGTGAGCAAAAACCTGTGAAAATCTGTATTTATTGTTGGTGTCAGCTCTACCCAGATTAAAGCTTCCTTTCTGCAGCACAGCATACCCTTGACGTGGTTGTCTGTTAGAAAAAAATGGCTGGAGTGCAGCTGCCTCTTCTGTCCAACACCTCAGGCTTTGTGAGGCTGGCAGTTCTTCACCCCCACAGAGGGGGGATTTGAATTCGGATAGAGGAGGGGTTGACAGGATTGCGAGGTGACCAGAGATATGGATACTAAATGATTGCCTGAAGCTACATGTAGCCTCAGTCTGACAAGCACAGCCAAAAACCTTCCCATTTTCGTGAACCCCACGGCAGTGGTGGCTGAGCGGTGTGTGTTGCTAAACTAGCTGTGGAGGAGACCATGAGCTGGCAGACCAGAGCCATGAGATTCAGATGGTGAGGAGCTGAAAGGGCAGCTTCAGCTCAGCCTGCGCCAGGATGATGGGGTGACTTGGGTGGTCCTGGTTTGGTGTTTTGGCTCTAACAAAAGCTGTACTGGCCACATCTGAGCAGCAATAACCTGAGCAAGGAGGCTGGGAAGCCAGGAGCTGGTGGAAACATGGGGAAATCGGACCTGGACCCCACTTAGTGTACCTCTGAGACTGTTTGCCAGGGATAGTATGTTATCTTGATATGTATGAAGCTAGTGACTTCGTTTTCCCAACGTGTTTGAAAAAGTACCAAACAGGGAGGAGATTAAAATGACCCAAAATGTTCAGAGCACTAAAGAAAGGGGGCACTTTTAAAATCCTCACGTCTATTTGAACCAAGTTCATGACTTTCTGAGCTGCAGCTCTGTGGTTTGGACAGGGCAGAGATAGGAAGTGGGTCAATGTTGAAGCTGAAAATGAACCAAAATGTAAATCTTTGTCGTTGACATACTCCAGTATTAGCACTCTGTGTGCTGCTTTGGTCTCTCAAGCTACTTTAGTTTACTGCTGGAGAAGGTTGAAAGGTGATTCATTCATAGTTTACAAGTACCTAAAAAGGCAAGAGGTTTCTGGTTGCTAGATGGGATTCAAATTTACCAGAGAAAGGCAGAGAGATCTCTTGGCTGGAAGCCAAAGTTAGAGAAATTCAGGCTAGGAATAAGGGCTGCAGTTTAAACAATACAAATAAAAAACAGTGGAAGGTCTTTGGCTGGCATTAAGCAGACTCATCAGCAGTTAATGGCTCTAAATGAGGATTTCTGTGTTTTTCTAAAAGATGCAGGAATTATGAAGAGAGACTTTCCAGCCCAGAGCAGCCCTTCCAGGAGACCAAGGCTGGGTTTCCCTTTCAACCAGAGCAGCCTGTGCATGGCTCTTGATGTTGTGTCCCCAAGCTTGGGGCTGTCCATACTGTCCCCATACTGCTGTCCAAGCACAAGCCACACTTGTAGGGTAGCAGTAAGGCACACAGATGTGCTGGGCATCAGGGAGCACAGCTCTGTTTCTTTGTGCACAGTGTTTTTCCCAGACACAGCCCAAAATATTTCTGGATTGGATTCCCCTTTCAGTGGTCTGTCTGATTCAGCTGGGGAATTACAGTCTATGAAGTGTGGCTTGCGAGCTGAATGCACAGTCCCTTTCCCTCCTGTAGTAAGACAGCCAAAGACATGCAATCTAGGGAGGAAACGTTCTCCTCCCTTTTTCTGGGCAGGACTCTCTGCTGGAGGGGTGCAATGCAGGCAGAGCCCCTGCCCTGTGTGAGTGTCAGCTCCATCTCTGCCACGCTTGGCATATGTCTCTTTGGACTTGCCTATTTAGGAATATCATGTAATTTATCACTGGTGGCCAAGAGCACAAGGTGCAAGAGGTGCATAGGTTTGGGTGAGATGTGATTGACATCAGTGGGGAGGAACTGGTGAATAGAGATCTTGGAAGGTTTCTTGCTTGTCCTTTACCCTCTCCTTCAACAATATCCAGGTTTCTGGGCTTTGCTTTGCTCTTGCCAGCATTTTCTGGGGAGAGGGGCAGGGCTGACACATCTTTCTCCCAGGCCATGCTGCCTGCTTCATAATTCTGCAGACTGTAGGCCTGGAAATAATATTAAGCAGACGCACCAATGCCAAGGTCAGGACCTTCCCAGTATTTAAGGCATATGTATACTGTTGGCATGGTACAGGGTGACCTCAGTGTACAATAGGAGCCAAATGACACACACATTCAGACAGAATAAATATTTGACAGAGCCTATTTCTCTATTCCCCAAAATGACCCCTATAAAAGCAAGGTCTTGTTTACCTTCCTGGCTCGCTGTGCACAGTGTTCTGAGAAGAGACAAGCTCTCTTCTCCATTCATTGCCTTCCTGCTCTTCTGGGTGACCCATTTCCAGGCAAGCATCAGGGATATTGGCTTCACAAAACCCAGGACACCTTGGATTTTCACAGAACTCCTGAAATTTGGGGAAAGCTGAGGTCATTCTTGTTCAGCAGTGTCTCTGTCTGTGCCAAAGCACAGCGACCTGGGAAGCAGTGCAAGATGTCCGTGTGCAGCCTGCAGCTGTCCAAGCCATTTTTTGTGCTGTCCCTGCCCCATTAGCACATGTGCAGCCCTGCCCATCCTGTTGCCTGTGGCACAGGTTTCTAGGGAGCCTGCAGCAGGCTTGGGTGTGCAAAAGTAAGTCGGGAAGAGTATTTGGTAGAGTTTATTCTTTTTTCCTTGGTGTGCTAAACATGCTTCCTTTGCACTCCTCGATCTTAAGTTTTCTTCTGTGCCTTGGCACCAGCGTAGCTGTGCAGCTCGGAGTCAGTGGAAGGTCTGGCGTGCTTGGGACCAGACCTGCTGCGTTACCCATCCACACGCTGCCAGGCACCTCTCTTCTCATGGTCACAGACATTTCTGGGTTTGCCTTTCAGTCACTGTGAGCTTTGCCCAGCCAATTCATGTTACCTGAACTGTTCCATTTCTATCCATGTATGTAGCTTTTCGATTAAGGACAATTCAGTTTCTCATGCCCTTGCACATAAAACAAAGGAATATGAGAGTCCTCAGAGCTTCCTACCACAGGAACATATGCCTGATAATTGCTGTGCTTTTTATTTTGTATAAGATCACTTTCAGTGAAAACAGTCTTTAAATAAAACCAACCTATGACAACTTAGCTTGGCATGAAGAATGAGTGGAGACATACCCATCCAGTTCCTCCTCCTTTGATTGCTTTTCCATATCGCAAGATCAGAATGCACTAGGCAATTAAAAGACAGCTTGTGCATATTAGACAGAGGAAATACTTTATCTGTAACACATCTTAGACAAGTGGAAACCATTGTTACCAATATTCTTAAGGCAAAACCAGCAACTTGCTATTTTCTTTTTCAAGGTTAATGCTGAGAATGAAAAAGGGAGCTAGAAGAGTGCAGAGCTGTCAGCTGAAAGAAAAATGGCAAGCCTGCTAATCCTTTCCTGTCAGGTTTAATATAAAGCCTGGCAGAGACTGATAAGAAGTGTCTCCCTCTCTGCCTGGTGTTCCAGGTGCATGGTAAAATCATCTCTCTGAAACACCCAGGAAAGCTCACGTGCAGAGCCAGGCTTCAGACTGGAAAGGCTTCTGGCCAGCCTGACATTGCAGGTCCTGAGACTGTTTTAAATAGCTTTATTCTTTCGCTTTTCTAAGTGCAACCTGAAGACTAGCTGTCCCTCCCCTTCTCATCCTTTATACGTGCAGGTTTTCATTGCAGCCCCCCTCAGTAGCTATTGCTCTGCTGCTGACACTTGTGCTGAATGACTGTTCATCTTAGCAGCAGGCACAGAGCATTTGTGGCACACACTGCTGGGGGATGGAGGACTGCTCCCTGTGAACTGCGTCTGCTCCTTCTGCAGCAAAACACTCTGGCTGTGGTTGGTGGGGCTGTGGAATTGGCAGCATGCCCATCAGCAGTGGCAGAGGTCATGTAGGTGTTGGTAATCATCAGCAGCAATGACATGATGCAGGGAAAAATAGTCTCCAAAGAGCCTGAGTTCCTGCATCCCTGGCTCTGGCCTCACGGGAGAGCCTGGAGAGCAGAGCAAACCCCTGCACTAGGAGGAGACATGCGGGTCCCACCTGCCTGAGTAAGGACAGCTGTGGAGCAGTCGAGTCTGGCCACGTGGAGCAGAGAAAAGAGCGAGCCAGACCTGGGGGATCCCTCTGTTCCCCATGTGGATGTTTCTGACTCTGTGCTCCTTCCCTGCCTGTGTCCTGGTAAAAGCTGGGGAGCCAAGCTGGTGTGAAGCCCCTTTCCAGCCATCCCACGGCAGCGGGGGCAGCAAGCACTTTTGCCAGGGGAGGGGGCTCGGTGGGCTCACATCACTCATGTGCAGCCTCTGAAAGAGGCAGGTTTCACATTGTCTGGTTTCTCTTTTTGTAGCTGTCCCTCCCAAACTGAAGAAACTGAAAAGCCCAAACGTTCATGTCGGTGAAAAGATTTCACTGAAATGTGAGGCAACTGCTGGAAACCCTCAACCGTCCTACAAATGGTTTAAAGATGGCAAAGAGCTGAAGAAGAGCAAGGACATCCGGATCAAGTATGGGAATGGGAAGTAAGTATGCTACGGGCTGCTCTGCCCCTGCTCACTAATGCTGAGTGTCTGGGTCCGGGGGACTATCTGGCTAGAAGTGGTGCTGTGCTCTCCATGTCACTGCTGAGTGATACTGAGATGCTTTCTCGGAGCCACAGAACTATGCACAGCCCATTTACCATGCCTGGGAGAGTGAGCAAGATTCCCAGTTTCCTCAAAGAATAGCAGAGAGAGAGGAGCAAGGTGCGCACGAGATAGATGCTGGGTTTGTAGATGGGGCTCTCCTTGGGTAACTGTCCTTGGATATCTGAGATGGGTGTCCAGTGACCTGGGAAGATAACTGCCTGCTAGCTGTAGACTGGTTGTAGGCAGCTCAGGTTACCTGGGGTGAATCCTGCTTTATGATTAGGGGTTTGAATGCAGAACCTACCCAAACTCAGCAGTTGCCCCAGCAGCCAAGAGCGGGCCTGCATAAATGTTGGAGGAATTGCTCTGTTCTCTCCTGAATTTAGGTGGACTTGAAAGTATCTAAGGCAACTGCAAGGATGCAAGAGCACATCATGGCACTGTCTGATTATGGCCCGTAGTCACCTGCCGAGGCCTTGTCTCACACAAGACCTTGCATTGCTCCACCCAGGGCAAGCTCCATCATGGCTGCCCCAAACTCCCCACGCAGCAAAGCTCTTGGGCAGCTGCTCTCAGTGAATGTCATCCTAGGGACCGCCTCATTCAGGCAGTGCAAAAACACCGGGAGAAATAGGCCCCAGTGACTAAGCTAAGGGGTTCTCACTGGGAATTGATATAAATGGATCCATGTTGATATTTTTCAAGGCCAAATATGATGTATCGTAAAATTATTCCATAAACGTGACTATGCTTACATTCATATACCCTGACCTAGCCAGCAACAGTGTCAGCTTGCAACTGCCTGACCCCCTTGGAAAACTTGAAACTAATTCTTTGCTAACATATGTTATGTCTGAGTGTGTGAAAAATAGTCCATCTCTTCTCTTTATAGACTTGATAGGGTATTAATTTTTAAAATTACAAGCCACTAAAAATCAGTTAAAAAAATCAGTTAGTGCTCGATTGGGTCATTGTCAATTGCTCTAATTTAATTTCAGTCCTGTTGGTTTTGATTTCAAAGTCACATCCAAGATGGTTGACCTCCTTTGTAGTAACTGTAGGATTCATGGCTGTTTTGCAGAGAGGTGGTCAGTGGAAGGCTTAGGCTAGAAACACCAGTGGATCCAGGATAACTGGCTCGTGTGTAGTGGATGCCATCTGCTCAGGAAGGGCTGTCTGGTCTTGCAGGCAGCAGAGGTAGGGCAGAACTGTGCCTGCCTCTTTGCTCTGTTGCCCTCAGTATTTCTGTGGCCCTTGTCAGCCTCATGGCCTCAGTTGTTTACCAATGGGTACTGGAGCTGGGATGCCCTGGAGGAATGTCTGCACCACCCGCTTCAGCCAGGCATGGGAAGTTTGCCTGTCCACCCCATGTGGACACTGCATCCCTGTGGTCAGGCAGTTTGTGGGACCCTGAGCTCACTGGTGCTGTGGTCTTGCAGGGATGTTGGGGAGCTATTTCCCTTAAAGCTAGAGAGCAGTCAGCCCCAGACCAAACACCCAGCAAAACTCTCTGGGGAGGGATCCTGGCAATGGCAAGAAGCACCTCTTGCAGCATTTGCCTGCTGTGGTCCCACAGATCACAGTCCTTCCTTGCTTCCTGGCACCCGGTATCCAGCATGAAGCTTGTGACAGGATGGCATCCCACCCACAGCAGTGCAGGGGGTGCATGCACTCCCTGGGTCAGGGACATAAGCATATGGAAGAAGGTTGATCCTCTTTCCTCAGGACACTCCTGTCAAGTCATAATTTTGCATTTACCAGTTTCCATGGCAACACATTGGCTCACAGCCTGCCAGGGACAGGCCAAAGGCATGTGCGTGCTAGAAGTGCTTCCTGCTGGCAAAATAAGCCCAAGGATAAACATTTTAAAGCAAGCTCCTGCCTCCTCCAGTGTCTGAGGCTCCCTCAGCAGCAAAGGTGTGACCCCAAAGTGTCTCCCGCTGATCTGTCCCCAGAATCGCTTCCCATCCCTGCTTCTGCTCCTTGCTGCCATTAAAACATGCCATTAAGTGGTTGCCTGTCTAGCGCTGGGGCCTGGCTACAGAGACTAGACTCAAGCAGTTATCGAGCTGGGACAGCTCTGAGTCAATAACCCCTTGTTGACCATTTGCCCCTTGTTGAGCAGTCCGCAGTGCAGGAACACTTCTCTAAGCAGATCTGGATGGGTCTGTGCACACTCAGTCTGGCATCCTCAGCTTTCAGGCTCTCCTCTCCACTAGGTTTGCTAGGTCTCAGTGCTTGAAAACATCTCGAGGGCAGAGTGCTCACTGGCATTGGACCTGCCTCCTTCTGGTCTTGACTGCATGCAATAAACATTAAAAATTGCTCTGTGCATGCAGGCTGAGGATTGAGGGAGCCCTTGTGTCTTTGCATATCTCCATTAAGTAGCTAGTGGGGCTGAGTTTAGTATAGGGACCCAAAACTGGACATGGGATATGGGTGTACATCATTACTTGCAGTATGTTAGGAGGGGACTCCAGGGAAGGGTAAGTATCCTAAACTGTAAAGCTCAGAAACGAAGTCTTACTCTATGATGATTAATTCAGGAATAATGGGTTTTATACATCTGGCTCCACTTAGAGATAACACTGATGTCCAGATAATTCTCTGCTCTTTCTTTCAGTTCAGAGTAGAGTGGGGTTTCCAGAGGGCTAGAAATAGAGCACTGGGGAGGGACTTTCATAGAGAAAGTACACAAGGCAAAAAGCTTCACGGACTATGCAGCACCTGGCCAAGTGCACAGGATCATTTCTTTAAAAGTGTGATCCAAAGACCTAATAGAGTTGTCTGCTGAAGCCAGGCAAAATGAACCCTGCCAGGATGTGGAGGTGTTGTCCATAGTGTTTCCCTTGGCCCTGTGAGTCCCTGACAGAGCTGGGCACAGCTCCGCGTCGGACTCTTTGTCTGCAACTCCGGGGTCCTTAGACAACATGCAGAGGATTAGGATGGGAGACAAGAAGACCACGGTTGCTCTCTGTGACTCATTACTGCTCTGTGCCTGGCTTTCCTCCCTGTGTGTTTAAAGAGCCTTGAGATCTCTAACTAGAAAGCATGACTGAAGTCCTTTTTTTTTGTGATCAAGTTTTCATTTGGTCCCACTGGCCTTCCTAGAGTAGGAAATCTCTTTGAAAATAAGGGAAGTATACATTGTAAGGAGGAGAGGAGCAGTTAACTGCATGTGAGCTCTTCAGCTTTTCCATCAATCATCTTTCTTCTTGTTTTTTTAAACTTACCGGCAAAACTTCTGGTGCCATCAGGCAAAGGAATTGGTTATTTTCAATGGGTATTTGCTGGAGGGAGAGGAACAATTCTGATTCCTCCTTTCTGAACTGCACGTTCTATCTGTAATTAGTAACAGGCTGGGGCAAGCCTGGCTTGCACAAAGAGGAAACTTCTCTTTAAGGTGGAAGAAATTATTGGCTGTAACTTTATCTCCGGTTCAATTTAAATAAAACACAGTTGATGGGGAACATAGAGAAATTACCCAGAAAGAATTGCATGCAGTAGTGGAAGTACAGCATAGTCAGTGGCTCTCCCTCTGAGCTGCCAAAGTGATACCATTTTCTGCTGAGTGTATCCGAGATCTGATTGAGGCCACTGGCTCCCAAGAAGTTAAGGTTGGGTTTTGACTCTCTGACTGTCCTGGCAAATGGTCAAATGCCAATTGTGGAGAAAGCCAAGGGAGTTTCTGTTTGTGGAGGTGTAGAGAATGTACCCCACTTCAGGCTGTGCTCAGGGCTCAGCTCTGAGGCATGTAGATCTTCAGCTGGAGTCAGAGGGGGTCCAGGAGCCTGGTAGTCTCCTAGCTGTGGCTGTCCTTACAGCCTCTTCTCTTTGTGTGCTCTTTTAGCAAGGGAGATTGCTGGGGTGATGAAGTAGGCATATCATTAGATTGGAGAGGGTTAGCAGTTCAGTTTGGGAGAGGCTGACCATACAACATCCCTTGGGAGTAGCGTCCTACTTTCAGTATCACCAGGAATCCCTATTGTTAGCCTGTAAGTGGAGCCAAGGGATACCCTCCTCTCCTGTTTCTGTACAGTAGTCCTTCAGGCGATGCTAGTTAGGGCAGATTCATTGCTGGGGTCTTCCTTGTAGAGCTCCCTGCTGTAGATTATTCCCCACCCACAATGAATGGGGCTGTGGTCTTCCCTGTACAGCTCACTGCTCTGGAATGAAGGCAAAAAAAAAAAAAAAAAAGCCAAAAGCAGAGGGGGAGAGAGGGGCCAAAAAAAATAGTTAGGGCAGATTCATTGCTGGGGTCTTCCTTGTAGAGCTCCCTGCTGTAGATTATTCCCCACCCACAATGAATGGGGCTGTGGTCTTCCCTGTACAGCTCACTGCTCTGGAATGAAGGCAAAAAAAAAAAAAAAAAATGCCAAAGCAGCAGGGGAAGAGAGTGCCAATAAAGATAAATGATTTCCTAATTAAGCCTGGAGACAAGGAGGGGCAAAGAGAACTGTTGAAGCCTTGTGGGAGCCAGAGTGAACCCAAGCAGGCTATACCACCACTCTGGCAGGGGTCTTCAGGCTGACATTTTTAAACAAAGGAAAAAGCTCATTTGACAATGGATCTTGCAAGAGCAATTCCAGATGCCTTGAAGCTAAGACTCTTCTCAAACACCGGTGTTGTTATAATCACCAGGGGAGCTTCTGCTTTGCTAACTCTCACGATGTCATTATAAGTCTCTGATATTTGGGATTTGGTTTTAGCTGCTGAAGGCACTTTATTGGAGGGGGGTGTGAAGGAGAGCATCTCCTTTGTTTGTCTGTTTGTTGTTTTAAAGGACATGATGGACATCATCTTGGCCAATGCACCTGGGCCTGAACCAGGGAATCTGAGAACTGAAAGGAGAAGCAGTTGGGTCTTGAGCTAGAACAATCCACAAACTTTTCAAG